GTATGCTTATGTATATATTACTTTAACATGTTTATAAATATTATTCTGTGTGTTGTACTTTGTAAGCGTGAAGTGGCAGAATAGCTTCAAGCTAATCTTCGCCTCAATAAAAGATGTTTATATTTATTATTATTATTATTTGAATTCGATTGCGATGTGAGCGTATCTTCTCGAGCTATTTCATCATGGTGGCCGCTTAATCAACACAGCTTAGGGCCATATCGTCAGTCATTTCCAGAATTGTAGGACGCCTTTATGGCCTTCTTGATTTTCATAGTTTTTCCTGTCCTTCAAAAAGGAGCTCTATTTTGATTGATTGATTTGTTCAGAAAATTACTATTTTCATTTTAACCATAATTAGGACACGTAGCCCTATAATTTTTTAAGGATTTAACCATTTGCAGCAAGGAAACAGTTTATTAGATCGTAACGATAATCCGATGATTTTTGAGGGTATATTCAACTGCAAAAGGCACAACAACAAGCTATCCGATCCATACCATGTCTTAGTTGAAACCACTTTTTTCAGATCCGTAGATTCTATACTTCCTACGCTTTCGTTGGAGGTTTCAAAGAAAATGGATGAGTCAAATCATTTCAAGAGACGAAATCCAAATGTGATTAGGTAGGTGAACTTAGCTACGAAAAATCTGTGACCTCTGCATAACAAACTATATAAATCAAAAGTATAATATTTCAGTTTCCATGGCAGATGTATGGAAAATATGTTTGACTTATTATGTTTAAGGCTAGACGAAATTAATGTTACATTTAAGGATGATAAGATTCAGAAAAACATATGTGTAGATATAAAAACTGTTAAGTCATCATTTACAAAAACATCGCAGAACGCTAAAGTAGTACATACTCCTGATATCCAAATATTGCTCAAATATATAAATATTGCTTCTGTAGCGACGTGTGACCATTTCAGTCCATTAGGAATGAAAGGAAATGTAGGATGACAGGATAATAATTATAATAATAACGTTTATTTCACTAAGTACAATTTGCTGGTGGGGCAAACAAAGATTTACGATAAACGTAGAAGAGAACATAACACGTGGCTTTTGACATTTAAGTTGTTTTACATTAGTTTTATAAGCCAGTGAACATCCTTAATTTACCAGGTAAAGCCCGTTGAAACCAAAATAGTTAGTTGTTAACGGACATGTGTTTTCATAAATTTAGTATTATGCTTGGAGGAAGATGCTGGAACATATCAGCTTAGCTAAAAACTCGCGCAGTAGAAGTATGGAGGGTAAGAAGGAGTAGCACTCATGTTGTACGATTATTAGTAAACAATTTCTACTAGCATTCTTGTCTCTTGTCTGTCAATTGAAAATATGTATTTTTTAAACAAACTTTTTATCATAGACGATGAGCTTAAGTTATCAATACGCATGTATGGCAAGCAGTTATAAACCTTACACGATGGTAGATGAGGGATCGTAAGCTTACATCTCTTTGAAAAGTTTATACTCTTAAGTTTTCATTGTTTTTATGTCTAGTACTAAAGGGTTGTCCAATATCGACGCCATTTTTTATTAAGTAATAAAACAATGAATTTCAAGTGGACTGAATATAACATACCTTAATTTAAAATGAAAGATACATGTATGGCAATTCAAGAAAATTATGTGTGGAATGACCATATCCTTCTTCCTGTTGCTCAATGAAATTAACGAATTCATGACGTTTTGCATGGTCGGTGGGCTTCAATTATTGTATCAATTGGATCTTAAATGCTTTTAACGCTTAATCCTTGTGTAAAATATGCCAAACAGTGGTTTGTGGAATATGCACCTGCTGTGAACGCCGTGGAATCGACATTCTTGGGTATCTTGAACACTCTCACGAACTGCAGCAATATTTTCTGGTGAGCGTTCTGGGCGTGGACGAATCGGTGTTTTTATGTCTAAAACCGAACCAGTCTCTTCAAATTTCCTCAGTATTCTCGATATTGTTGACTCATTTGGACGATCATGCCGTTGATAAAAATCACGTAACTTACAAAAAACATTTTTATTTGAACATATTTGGGCATTTTCATAATGAAGTTGAGTTATCTGCTCACGTTGTTCCACGCTGCACGCATCCATTTTATAAATTGCCAACTATAGTAGTTTACAAATGTCAATAAACCATGCCAATTCTACTCTGTCAAGTGTAACCTAGACAACTTCACAAAAAATTGCGCCCCTAGAAGAAAACTCATTATAAACATGACTAACTTTATTGAAGTTAATTTTATGTTTGTCTATGAATTGAAAGAATTGATGCAGAAACAGTTACCTTAGGCCAAACATTCTTTGAAATTAACTCATCAGAAGGATAGATAATGAAATGCGAAAGGCTTTCGCGGCCATCATCCAATGTTGTTTGGTTGGTTTTTGGGTAGTTAGGCCGTCGCAAAATATTTTTATTTGACGTTCCGCCAACACGACTGGTTGGCATCTTCAGAAGGTGTTGACAGTTACGACGACTTAACTACCCAAAAACGAACCAAATAACACAGGATAGGTAATCTTTTACCAGATATTTAACGCGCTTTTTGCAGTATATCCAGAGGCTGCAAATAGCAATATGCCGCACTCCCCTTACCCAAAATAGGGTATGGTAGACGTGACTCAACTAATAAATAATATAACATTTTCAGGTGCATGTAGACTAAGAGATGGTTTAAGTATTTGAAGCGACATAAGGGTTGTCGTAGGGTATTTGCAACGTTAGTTATACGAAGATCCCATCTCAAGTGGCAATCAATTGTGACGGATTTTCAGATGTTAAAGGTATACGTTTATTCATTAAAAGCGTTCATACTGAGGTAGCTAATGTATTGTACTAGAAAAAGGCATCAAGAATGTTTTCTCGTTCAAGGTTAAAAGTGTATGAGAAAAATAATTAAAAATAGTTTCTAGTTCCCGCTCTACTTTATGTTTCGACTTTCCCGAGTACTATCGTCATACAATACTATAGTATCATCTGCAAAGCTAAGCACTTGACCACATGAAAAGTTAGAAAGCTGTTTATGTAAATTGTAAACAAGGTTGGATCCAACACAGTACCTTGTGGTAAATCATAGTCAAAAATTAAATTGTGTAGTGTCTGTATATTAAACTCTTTCCTTGCACAGTCTTGCTCAAAATGACTAATCCTATACAGAGTACTTTAACATAATATGGAAGTGTTTTGAATGGACATAGAGCACACAAAATAGTTCCACACGTTTGTATACGGGACACTCCTACGGATATAGGTTTTTCTTTGTTGTCTTGTTGTTGTTGATGTTTTGAGATAACCATAATCATCTGGACCCTCACATGATTGGGTTAATGGAAGACAATAATCTCATTTGAGTTGCCAAGGGCGGATTGGCCTTATCGCTGTTTGTTGTTTTTGCACGTCCTGGAACAGCAGCTCAAAAGTGATATTTTTGGAAAGCGGCTCTTTAGATGACCAGTATTGCTTCAATATTGCTTTTATCGATTTACACTGCAACCGAATTCCAAAAATTCATATTATGAAGTTTTTGGGGTCGCTGATAACGAACCTTATCAAGTATACTTTATTTGCAAAATATTGGAATCAGTATACCACAGCGTGAAGGTCGGGCTTTTAAAATGTCATATAGAATGTGACCATTTGAGCCTTTCACAAGAATCCTTGGGTTATTGTTTTTCCTGTATTATAGTTATAATCTATTTACTTTTTGTATGTATGCACTTGAAGAATTATTTAAAGTGAATCCGATGTTACAAAATATACCTAATTAAATGTAATATATATGAGAAATTACTAAAAAAGTAGCTATTGCCAGTCACTAAATAATGGAAACATAACAAAGAAGAACATGCAAGTTTTTTGCTGATTTGATGAAAGAGTCGTTGATCTTTATTTAACCTTAATGTTGGAGGATGATTGGGTGGACCTGCCGACGTGATCCAAATCGACGAATCGCAGTTGGATATTTTTATATGCAATGACCGCTGGTGCTTTTTGTATTTTTTATGTCACGCGAGACGCTGGTGCATTTTACACTGTTTAGACACGTAATGTTCAAAGTTTCATCTAATTTTCAATAAATATTGGGATGACTCCTTATGTAATAAGCCATTTACAATAAATTAAGACTTTTATTGTACAAATAACCTCATTTTTTTATTACGTATTTCTCCCAAAAAAAGGACAGCTTGGCAACAATCGACATCGTTTATATTATCTGTCAAGAAATGGACGTTAGGCAATGCGCGAAACAAAATGGTTAAGGAATTTCAAGAAGAAATTAAAAAATCTCAACACAACACCTTTACAGTAGCAAGTAGGTACAATCATTTACGGTATGTATTTTGAACTGTAATTTTAGGTTATTACACGGTTTGTTTTGAACCTTTTTTGCAAAAAAACAACGATTTTTTATGGTTTCGCATCTATTTTCCTTAAAAAATGATAATTTCTGCTGACTTCTTCAATTTTTTTCGAAAGAAATGAGAATTTCAGCCTTCATGCGCTAAAGTATATTCTTAAAGGTATGTATTTGGAACTGTCATTTCAGCTTATTATAGGGCTAGTTTTTAATCTTTCTCTTTGAAAACCCAACGATTTTTTTACAGTTTCGCATCTATTTTCCTTAGTACTATACAGTATATGTTATATTCCTATAATTTAGAGCATCCTTTTGTGCAAAATTAAAAAAACATCTAATAAAACAGTATTCTATTCTAGAATATTACCACCAAAGATGCAGCTTTGAAATTCTATAAAATAGCAAGTAGAGGGTTCCCTAAAGAAAAAATGATATTTTCGTTACATCCTAGTCGTTCATTTTAAAATAAGGAATGAAACATTTGCGATAGGTGCTAAAATATAGTCTTACCAAAAGATCTAATGGAAACATTCATTTTTTCTAAACGGTATTACAGTTTTTCTGTGCATTAATACTAGAAAGAACAAGGATCAGCACACGATCTGACTTTTGTCTTCTTCAAACATATTCCACCTGAGTGTTCCAGTAAAAATGTCAACCTGACATGGATATGTTAGAAAATCAGAAGGTTGTAATGAAGGATAAACATATATTGCTAGCATCTAAATACCTGAAACATGCAAAAATCGTTATCTACTTCTTTTCGGCTTCATGGGCGGAAAACACACGCGACCTAGTTGATAAGTTGAAAGTGCTTTACGAAGAAAATCGGAAACGTAACACCAAAATGGAAATCATCTACGTATCCGCTGATTCCGAAGAAATGCATTTTCAGAAGGACTTTTCCAGGCAAGGACCTTGGGCGGCTATTCCATTCAAGAATAATACAGCCGATATCCTGAGATGGCGGTAAGCTGCACTTATTTATTAATACATATTACAGGCTCAGATTTCCGATGTGTTAGTCAATAAAGGGCGGTTAAATGAGGGATGATATATCCTAACAAAAGGTAATAGCACAAGTATTTATTCGGAAAGTATTGTAATCGTCAAAATACTAAAATCTGTCTTTTCTAGAGACGGATTACTCGTGAGAATTTTATCTCCTTTATATAACACAAATCCATGTCCCGCAATTCCGTTGAACTGTCGTCTCTTTCCCGTAGATTTTCGTAATTAATTGTTGATAAATAACATATACGAGATATATATAATTAATTTTGAGATTGTATTTAATTATTTTGTTGAACTTAAAAATTATTCATAAACATTCCAATATTACTAAAAATCATGAAATAACAAAATCCAACATTTTATCAATTAATTATGAACCTTCATACCAAATTGCACACAATATATTTGTAAAGATCATCCCATGAAACAAATATTGATATAACAAACTGTAGCATTTTGATGGACCTTTTTAGGGAAGCCCTGTTACTGAATATCTTATTATTTGGATACTGGTTTGCAGGTACGATATTACGTGCTTACCACAGATAGTCGTTGTAAAAAAAGAAGATGGATCGATCATATCAAGGAGAGGTAAAGATGAACTTGAGAAGCTGGGTATCAACGTTATTGTAACATGGACTGAATATATTCAAACATAAAAATAGCAATGAAAGAATGATTCGAGCTTGTCGTTTGTTTTTACTATAATAACTTGAAATGCATAGATTTATTATTTGACAACTGAGAGCACGATAATGCGTTTACTTGGTGGTTATCTATTTATCTATTGCCAAAAATGCAGATAGACTCTAGGGCCGATACAAAACCTAATGACGTGTCGCTGAGACTACGTTCCACTAATGCTCCCACCCCACATGGTCAATTAAACAGTTTTTATTCTAAGTAACTGAATTATTCCGTTCAAATAAACTCGAAAGTAATATACTATCAATCTAATTTGCTTGAACATATCGTCGGTCTCCGCAAGTACCGGCGTAACTAACATTTTACAAATCTTACAGGAGAGCTAGAAGACGAAAATCAGCAATAAATGAGATTGAAAATGACATACTGATTTTTTAGTCGGCACGTTGCTGTTTTTTTGTTAGACTAAAATTATGTTGTACTATGGTTTGGGATGGTTTAATTCTGTAAAAGTGAGATGAGTTTTAAAAAAATATATTTTTTATTGTGAAGTTACATCAACAATTTAAAACTGGACATGGGTATCAAAATATCGAAAGTACTGTTTCAGAAATAAAAATTATTTTATTCTCTACATAATATTATAAGTACAAACAAAAAGTAAATGACAAGAAAAATAAACATTTTGCTCAAGCCGATATTCACAACAACACAACAACATGTGTAGGTTATGTTCACATGTTATTAGAGACACATGCGCCGGTACGTCCTGCATAACTATCGGTCAAATACAAAAAACCAGTTTTAATGCAGAGGCGTAAATCTATTTAAGCCGGTACGTGAAAACTGTTTTACTGTTTTATGACTTAATTTATTACTTAATTTTTGAAGAATTCTGTTAATAAGCATCGAACTGATATAGAGTTATGTCACTTCGTGAGGTGAGAGTACAAAAAATATGTGATATTACGGCGTAACACGATTTTAGATTTTTTTTTTGTCATTTACGCCTGTACGTGGTGAGACCGACGATATCAAACCATGTACCTACCTTATTAAACTATTTACTTAATTTAGAAAACTCACTTTATGTAGAAAGGGTACATTTGAAATAAATAATCATATAATGAAAACAATCAAACTGTTTATTTGAGTTGCGGACTCGGCAGGACTCGGTCCTGAACGATCATGAACTCCTCAGTTACATTTTCGAATGTTGCCGTCGTTGGCGCAGTAGCAGTGAAGTGGATCATTTATCGTGATCAAGTGAAAGATTCGAACATAAGGCGATCAGTGACCCATAACCTTCAGTATTTCTCACTCCCAGGGAACACTCTGAATCGGGGAGTCACTGCTGACGTGACGGTATGGGAAGAACTTTGAAATTTTATTTATGTAGTGATATTGAAGTCAAAGAAGGGTATTTATACCAAACATATGCTTAATAAAGCTTGATGTGTTTTTCTTTTATATTATATTATTTGGAAATGTCCTAGTTTATTTAAAGCAATATCAGATTTATTTATACATGTAAATACGTTGAATGCGGATGAATGCAATTATGTTTTATTACTAGAAATAAAAGTACATTTTTTACAAATGATCAAGTTGCCTTATTCAGTTTTACGTATTCCTTTCCGTACTTTTTGAATTCAAAACACAGAATAGCAATCAGTTTTGTTAAGGTTGTAAAGTTTTTCCAAAACATCATCATTCAAGCTAGGCAAACTTTAACTAACAAATTAAACAAATTCGATAAATATAAATTATATTATTTTCCTTAGAGCAGGTGAACTCATTTTGATAGTTCATTTATTTTAAGTAACTTGGATTACTCAATCTAAGAAAACAGCTTATTAAAGTTAGTTAAACGATTGCGTTTTCGGTTAATCATACGTTTCAAGATTCAAGTAAACTATTTTTGAAATTGGAGCTTAATTGAATTAATTAAGCTGGTAGTTGTCACATAGTTAATTGAAAATTTTAATTGGACTAATTAAAATTTTAGTTGGTGTAAGTATTTTTTTTTCTCGGGGCATTCATATTCTAAACGAGTCAAGATAGTCAAATAAAAGTCAAGATGATCAAATTGATTTATATACAAACCTGATGCATCTGATGTCCTCAGTTAGTCTAAATTGGTGCTTACAGTGCAGTGCTTATCGTCAAAATGGCATCCATGCCCCATTTTGCTCCCGCTATGCGGCGCTTGTGAGGTTGTAGGTAAAACTGTCGACGGTTGATGGGAAAGAGACAGATTTGATAGACAGGTAACCTATTTTCCTAGTCCTCCTCACGATTTGACGTATGTTGACGTGATCTGTTTATAACATTCGATAGACCTCCAGCCTAAACAGGAGTAGGTGGCTTCTATCTTTCCAGATTACCCTTTATTACGTAGTTGATCGATAATTATATTTGTGAAGAATTTGGGCTGTACAATTTACTTCAACATAGACCAACACGTCTATCTCTTTTTCTTAACTCAGAATAAGGTTACTGACATTTTCTTCTGGTTCATTTTGCATTTTCTGTTCCAGTTATAGAAAATAATGCCGAGTGGGATGGCGACGATTGAGTAATCTCTGAGGTTATTATATTATTATTAATATGATTTATATTATATATAAATCCATGTCAATTCCCTCGTTTCTAGAATAGTTTCCCATTGTAAATTAACTACGTAACAAATACATTTTTAAAACTGTCAGTATTTGTAATAACCTAGATTAGGTATTTGTTGAAGTACCTAATTAGCAATATATCCAATTCTTTGTCACGGACTACTTGAATATGTCATAGGACTTAATGCATAGGTATACCGAATGCAGATACGTATTATTTGTTGTTAGGTATGATCGTTTCTTACAATTATTCAGAAAAATAGTGAAAATAAAATAAGAATGTGTAGTGTCAAATTATTCGTAAGAAAATGGTCTCTTGGAAGAAGCCACCCTCTTTCTATTTGGAAAACCAAGTAAACTGAAGAAATTTTTAACTTTTAGATAATCTGTAAAACGACTGTAAGGTTGTTCGCCTAAAAATCGTACTTTTACCGATTTCAAAAATGAAGCGATTTACCTACAGGACCAATGGAATACTAGACCTAAAAATAAAAAATTAAATAAGAATGACCTTATTTGTCAAATATTGTTGAGGTCAGAATGTCATTCTCGATAGAAATAAGTAAAAATATATAGGGTGCCTCGTTTAAAACTCGAAAAATGAAGTCAAGGCAAAGCAAGCGAACATGTTAAAAATGTAAATTCATCTATAATACGCAACCCTCAAATTTCGTTTTTCTGTCTTCAATAATAAAAAAGTTGTAGGTGTTAGCCATCTTGGAGAATAACTCAGGATATCATGCCATGAGATCATTTCGGCGGGCCGTTTGCTATTGTACCTGCATTTATAAGTCACTCGGATCGAGTACCAAAGATGCATTATTAGTCTAAGTTTTAAGGGCAAATATACGAGGGATGTCTTTTAAATTTTGCATATAGAAACATACTAGGCCTAGTGGATCGAACGTCAGTATTGAATCTTAACCTCACTCTTTAGTAAACTTAAATTCAAAGTTTCACAACAATACGTGTAGTGTTCTCACTACAGTGCATTTTTAAGTGTCACCAAGTCATTAGAAAAATGGAACTCAACCGAGAACATTTTCGCACCATAATTTATTACAACTTTCAGAGACAATTATCGCAACAAGAATGCCTTGCTGAGTTACTGTCTGTTTTCGGCAACGAAGCGCCACATCAGTCGACAATTTCCCGTTGGTATGGAGAATTCAAACGTGGACGGGTGAGTCTTAGCGACGATCCCAGGGTGGGTGCACCAAAAACGGCAGTCACCCAGGAAAACGTCGGTGCTGTGCGCAAACTCATCATTGAAGATAGACATGTGACATATCGCTAGATTGAGGCGTCCTTCAAGATCTCAAAGACCTCAATTCAAAAAAATTTACATGAAGAATTAGGAGTAAGAAAATTAGTTTCTCGTTGGATACCCCACCTGTTGACTGAAGAGCAGAAAGGGTTAACTGGTGTCAAAAAACGCTTGACCCTTTCAATTCCGGAAACTCAAAAAATGTGTACAGCATTGTTAGTGGTGACGAATCGTTGATTTACTGTTATGAACCAGAAAATAAACGACAGTGGGTGTTCCAAGGTGAAGAAAAGCCAACAAAAGTCATCCGTTCACGAAGTGTTTCGAAAAAGATAGTCGCGACATTTGTGTCAAAAGCGGGTCGTATTGCAACAATTCCACTTAATGATCAAACAACTGTTACTGCGGATTGGTATACCACCATTTGTTTGCCAAAAGTCATCACCGAGCCTCGAAAAATCAACAGATGTGTATTAATCTTCGTGGAGAATACTTCGAAAAACGATAAAGTCATTTAAAACTACCTACCGTGTTGTTTTATTTCCATATGCAAAACTTAAAAGACATCCCTCGTACGGGCAAATGTATGAGTTGTGAAATATCCCAACTAGCAAAGTGGTGCTATTTGTTTTTGGTAAAAGAACTGTAAAAACTCTCTTTTTTATAATTTTGTTGTATAACCTTCAACATCTTAAGTACTAAATGAAATGTCCTATCAGGGGCGCCCATTCCGCTTGTATAGCTGTTCTAAGAACGCTTTTACGCTCTTACAACCTAAAATGCTGTGTAAAGAATGATGTTATGAACATTCTTGCAACCCTAACAAGAATGATAATTGTTAGTTGGGATATCTAATATGTGCGCATGATTGCCAGGGTTGGAAGTGTATTGATAGATATATTTAACATAAAAAATTGAGATACATCCTCTCTCACCTCCTACAATCCATCACCCCCCTATTGTTTCCCTACAGAAAAATTTCATAAATCATAAGGGTCCTCTGAAACGTCGAAAAACAAAGTTTGAGTGATTTTTATTTTTCCTTGTTTTGCCTACAACGACAAAGCTTTTCCGCCGTCATAGTAGTAACATTGTGAAGAAGTTCATCCAAATCCGAGTTATAGCCGGGACAAGGATTAGCTGATCTA